TTTAAACACCAGATATGAAAAGATTTTAGGATACAATTATTGCACTATGTGATTATTCTCCCTTTTTGCTCCTTTCTTTTTTATTTTTTAGATTTTCTAATTTATACCCTTAAGTATAAGTTAAACTTTATTAATTGTATTATTTATAATTAAATTTACACAAAATTTTATATAGGATTTAAATAAAATAAAATATAGAGTATAAAAATATAATATAATATTTATACTTAAAATTTATTAAAAAATATAAATATAATATAAAAATTTATACACCCTTTGGACTGACATTAACCAAAGATAAAAAGTGCACCTCGAACCAATCAGAGTATTTGACATTCTAGGATATAATAAATTATCAAGTCGCTTCAATAATTCAAAATCTAAATTCACAAATATAAAGGTTAACATCACCAAGTTCACATTCACGTTGCATTCAGATCATAATGCTGGAAGAACATGATCTTTCATTAAAAAACAGAAGAACAGAAAACCCAATTTACAATATTGAGAATAATAATACACCTTGGTCAGGAAGAGTGTGAATGTAGGACAAGAATCTTACCAATCAGTTTAACATGGCTAGGAAACTATCTGATGACATGACAGGAATGAAATCTCTCTACTCTATTATCCCAATCAGTCAAGAGTCTCAAATGATTATGTGAAGGGAAGAGTTATCCTGCTTTAGATGGGTTAGTTTGATGTCGCTGCAAGTTCCTCCTAAGAAAATCAGATAATTTGGTACTTGCAGCACGCCCTCGTTCTAGGCAATGAAAATAGTCATCCACTGGTGTACAAATTTCAAGAACCCAGTTAGAGTACAACATGGCATTACTGATCTTGAGCAATAATTATTGGGAACCAAGAAATAGAAGAATGGATAGAGAGCATAAGCCAACAGTGATTATTCTTATCATCTTAATCATATTAATGCTGAAATGGAAACTAACAAGATAAGTAGTTCATAATTTTTGCCCTGATGGCATAGCTTCATTAAAATCTGCTATTATATTGTTTATGCAACTTGATATATGGAGCTTATGAAATTTATATCAGGTCAGCTTCTTTGGGCACTCCATGATAATTTGTAATTACACCCAAAGAGGTTATAAGACCTAGTAGTTTCTCCAGATCATAAACTTCCAGATATTAGAATGGTAATACCCTGTTCCCAGATAAGAAAGAAGTAAAGGCAAATCCCATCCGTGTCCTAACTATAGTATTGCAAAAAAATAAACCAACCTTATTGTAAAAAATCAGACAATTATACCATTACACCTTTAACAAAGTAAAATCAACATGGAACAATATACAAATCAAAAAAATGAGAAAAGTATATGCCAATTAAAGTGAAAAATACCTGACATCACACCATGAGTAACGGATGTAATGATCCCATGTTCCATGCGTTCACCGCCCACCAGTAGTGATTCTTCAGGCAGGACTGAAAGGATTGAGTTTGGGAAGACTAGATAAGCAAATGACTTCATTGTCTGTCATTACATAAGATAAACATGTCAGAAGGGACTTCAATCAAATGCAATCAGAAGTAGCTAACAAGTCTCTGTATATATGTCTACAGCTGAAAGCCAGAAAAAGTCAACAGCTTAGAATGCTACTACTGCCTGAGGATGCTCATAGAGCATGGACGATGATACCAATAGGCAGTAGATATTTGAGTGTGAAAAAGTCTTTCATTTTTCTTTTACCCAAACCATGTTAGTGATTTGGTAAGCAGAAAAAGGAATGATGGAAGAATTAAGTGATGACCTGCTCTTCCAGCTTGGTAGGGTCCAGTATAACATACCCACTTTCTGTCAAACAACAACATATGGCAACTGCACCACCCAGTACCAAATAATCAGAAAAAAAATCAGCTAATTAATGAAAGATAACTGATAACCTGAACAGTCCTTACCAGCAAGATGCTTCATAGGAATCGCCGCATCTACAAGAGCAGCACATGCTGCATTTATGGCACAAGGGAGAAGCTACACATGGCTAAATTAAGGAGCAGCATTTTCTTAATAGAAATTCAAATGGAATATCCGAATGCATCTCAAAGCAGAAAAATGAGAATAAAATATACAAGTTGGAGTAAAATATTTGGACAACTGAAGTTGGGGAGGGTTCAACAAAGTTCCATAGCAAATGATATGTGAAAGACAGTCATAAAGGATACAGCACCATCGTCATTTACAACCTGAAACAGAAAATAAAAACCTAATCCTTTATTAATGAATCAGTCTAGAAACATTAAAAAAGGGAAAAAATTCTAAGTTAGTAGTCAGCTAAACATGATACAAAACACATGGCAGCCTAGATAATTTGATTGATACACACATAGTATGCAAAATATGAGAGGAATGCAGATCACAGGAACACACAATACTGTCAGGTATTTTACAATTATATCAACCCACAAACCTGAATTATGACTGATGTTGTGGTATTTGGATTGATGGTCAGAATGCAGATACTCTGCAATGTTCTCTTCAATACCATCTCATACTCCCTTTCAAGCTTCCCTAAGAATAGCAAAATGAGACAGATAGGTTCAAATAAGCCCCAGCTATACACCGTACTCTATTAAATCTCTTCCTAGTCAAGTTCATACAAGATCTACAAGCGCCACAGTGTCAATGGATAATCAATTTAGAGAGAACCGAACAGGCTACTTTCAAATAGATCACAAAACAAAAGGACAAAATCAATGCATTCCTCTCAAATGAATGTATCTTATTTAACTTTTTGAAGCTCTAGATCAGATATCATTCCAATTGGTTTTTCACAAATTAATCATCATCATCATAATTGATTCTCATTGATTCATTATTATCAAACACAACTAACCCATAGCTAACCTTGTCAAAAACACATAAATCTATCATGTACAATTGGCAATTTGAGACAAGCAACGAACAAGTCAGCTGCAAGGTTAGAAGAACTGAAGATATCCCACATCATTATTCATTAGACCAGTTGCATGATCTAAAGAATTACCCTAAACTAATTATATGTCCATGAAACTTTAAATAAATTTGGCTTGCAAACTAGGATCAACATCAATTAAAGAGAACTTCAAATCTCATTACTAAATTCAATACAAAGCAGAATAAAACCAAAACAACAACAACAACAACAACAATAATAACATACCAATCTGCCCTGTTTTTGGTTTCCAAATTACTTCAATGCAAGCCTTCTCGGGGTTTTCATTCTTCTTTGTCCCGGATTTAGGTCCATAAACGGCAGCAAGAACTTTCGTATCACCTACTCCAATCAAAAACACCAATAAAAACGTCAATTACCATTGATGGCAACGGCAACAGCAGCAATACTAATGGCAAAACTAAAACCAACCCAGTTGAGCGAGCAATCAAATGTTGCAATCGAGGATAAAAAGAACAATAATTGACTGAGAAATCTCAGCAACTGAAATATGAGAAATATATATACAGAATAAAGGAGGAAGTTGAATGAATACCTTGGGACCAACTAGCAGAACCATGAGCACGATTGAGGATGTTACGAGAACAAGCGAGAGGTCTCAACTGGTTCTGCGTTCGCCCATCTTCCCTATCTATCTCCATGGTGAAGAAAGAGAGGAGCTTTTCAACTTCGGGAGCTAAAGATTTGAGGAAGAAAGGAAATTTGCGGGAAAGAAAGGTCCCGGGTTTTGGGGTTAGGGTTTTAGTAATTTGTCGGGTTGGTAACTTGGACGGTAGTAACGGGCTTGGACGGTAGTAACGGGTTGGGTTAAGATAATTTGGGCTGGATAGGCCCGAGAGTCTAATTTATTTGGGCTTTGCACTTTGTGTTCTTCGGTTCTCAGTCCTCTTCTCTTGTGTACCATCATCATACTTGCTTGAAAAAAAAAAAGAAAAGAATAACGGTTAATAGTTTAAAACTCTAAATTAGAAATTTTAAAATTCGAGTTTTAAGTTGGGATGGATTCGGAAATACCCAAAAAAGAAATGAAAATGAAAAAAATTGGGTCTGACCCAGTAAAATTTTGTCCCTTGCACACTTTGTTCCTTTTTTTTTTTTCAAATTCGACTGTTAATTTGGCCCTTCCTTTTCTACTTTCTTCAGTTTTCTCCTGTGTTTACACCTCTTATTTTCTTCAGGTTGGAAGCACATGCACTCTTAACCAACGAGACAAGATGCCTCAAGTGCTATTTTTCAAAGTTGATGCTATTTTTCAAAGTTGATATACTCATTGAATATCCAAACAAGTTAAAATTAATGCCCTACTTATTTGGGGCTTTTGCCTTTACAATTAATGTACCGCCTTTGTAAGTGGTGGTGTTAATGTGAGTAAATTTAAACGTGTCAAGTATTAAGCTGTCGTGAGAAGCACTCACAACAAGAAGATTTGTTTTACATTGAGACAGAGGACCACATGTAGATGCATGCATAACAACCGTCGTTGATTACTTATATATTAGTTAGTATTAAATGCGTCCATCAATGACGATGAGGTGAAAAGGCCGAGGCCGTGTTTATCGCTTGTTTAGGATTTTGTATGTGTACGTAACAAATGAAAATCTATACTTGGATGAATATCAAGTTGCGAACCCCATTCTCCCTCCAAGAGAGTCAACTCTGCTTTCAAAATTAAATCGAAGCTCCAAATGCTCCTACTTGAAGTTAAAATTTGGTATTGATAAAATGGGCAACTATCCGTAGAGTGCTAGCTAGTATATATTATTGAAAATAGAGTTTGTTTTTTATTTTATTGGTTATATTTTGTTTATTTTGATTATATAATAAGGGATAATCATTTATTTCATCTTTTATTCCATTCCATCTGTATATCATGCGACTTAATTTCAAAATTTTTTATTTTTAACAAAAGAAAATGATCATTAAACTATTTACGCAATTAACGATTAAGTTTTAATTATATGGTGAAATTAATAAATATGTAATTTTTTTAAAAAAATTTAATTTTAATATAAAAAATTTACTTTTGATATATCACAAAAAAAATAATTTTAAAATATGTATAAATTAATTCAAATACACCATCGCCATTAAACCAAAACAAAAAACCAGAAAAAAAAAATACAAAACAAAAAGCACATAATCGGCCAAGTGCTACCCTCTTCAATTTTAATGTCAACGGCTCAATGAAAGGAACGAAGAAAGGTTTACAAGGACAGACTACTAGCAGCAGAACTCAAATCTAAAAACCAACAAAGATCGTAGCTTATCAAATGCATCAACTGTCATGAATATTTCTAAAGCTCTATCACTTGAATAAGGTACCCCATTAATTTCTTTGCAGAACTACTTAGCCGCCAGTCTACTTCCGTAGTGACTTATACAGCAAAGTTGGTGCAAAAAGGGAAAAAAAGAAAAATCAGCACATAAGCAGCGTTGAATCCTTTAAAAAATTCCATTCAAACGAATCAAACCGCATGCAAATCCCCAAACCCTCTCAGTTGCCCTCCGTTTATTTCCTCCCATGTGGAAACTTTGCCGTTTGGCAGCCGAGAATCTTTGAGATAGAAAAAGAATAAAGAAAACAAAGTGAAAGAAAACAATTGTAAGTATACTTGGGTCTCGGCAGCCGAACACAAACGGGAAAGACTGCAGAAACTGTATGCATATCATTTTTCTTGTTTTTTCAAGTTTGCTCTTAATTCTTATGGTTTTGTTAATTCCTTGTATTCGTTCTATATTTTGTGAATCAAAGTTTATGAAAGGAGATGTTATGTTCTAATTGGTGTTTCCTTAAAATTTAATTACACATGTTGGACTGCATTCAGCTCTCTACCACTACTAGTGCATTGCTTTATTGAGGTAGTTTTCTTTACTGCATTTTACCAATGTATCCTGAATTTTTGGCTGGTAATTAGAGGGCTTTGTCTCTGACTAAATTTGGTAATTGGGAACAACCTGACAGGGATGATGTACTTATCATTTGGAGAAAGCTGAGGATCAATTCTATGGTTTCTCAATATGGCTTATGAAGTTAAGTCTTCGCTTCGAATAGAAACTACGGGATTGCTAGGGGTTATGGGAATGTTGGTTGCTCTAATTATAGCATCACAATGTCTTCAACTTTGGTACGGTAATTTTATGTCCTCACTATTTCCTTCTGATAAGGTTGCCATGGCAGAGAATAGTGACTTCTTTACTGGTAGACCAGTTTCTGAGTCTGAGGAGGTTGCAAATGCGACTCATGTTAGTGGTTTAAACTCCACTGGTATGAATGCACCCAATGAGACAGCTCATGTTATGTCCTCAGAAGTGAATGGAAAAGATCTGAATGGTGATGTTGTGTTGCAGACAAATGTGAGATTGAATTTGAATGTATCTCCAAGGTTTGATGAGGGTAGCAAATCTGGTAAGGGGTCTTCAGCTGAGACATTGGAGCTAAGTAACAATTCCACTATGGAGTTTGGCCAAAGTTCTAATGATAAAAGTGAAGCAGAGGAAGATAGTGATGCCCAAGAAACCTTTTCTCCAGAAAATGAAACCATGTATGGTGACTTTTCGAATAGTAATATTACAGAAAGAAATATGTCATCTGAAAGTAATGGTTACTACAATGCTGACCTTGTATCTCCTGTAGCTGCATCAACACTAATCGATTCATCAACTAATATAGAATTGAGAAAGAAGGCAGATACAAATATCAGGAATCCTGTTATGTCTAACAATTCCACTACATGTTCAGCGGAGAAAAATCTGACACCCAGTTTTGATGGTACTGAAAAACCAGTGCAAGTGCAAGACAATTTAAACAGACCCAGCTATCTTCCTTTGACCAATGGTCCTAAGGTCAAGGAAAGGATTAAGATGCCAAGCTCTGCAGTAATTACAATAGATGAGATGAACAGTCTGTTGCATCAGAGTAATGATTTTTATCATTCAGTGGTATGCTTAAAAGTTCAGTTTTAATTTTTACTAGCTTAGCTTGTTTTTTTGACTTGAATGACTTCTATATATAGATAGTAGTAAATACAACCTTTCTTTTTGTTGTTCCTGGATTTGATTGTAGACACCGAGATGGTCTTCTGCAGCTGACCAAGAGCTACTATATGCAAGATCACAAATCAAGAATGCACCCATCATAAAGAATGGAGTGGAACTTTATGCTCCACTTTATAGGAATTTATCAATGTTCAAAAGGTAAATCGTTAAAGCCCACTTTCTTATTTGTTTTCACCTCTCTTTCATTTCTGTAAAGGAATTGTGATGTAGCAAATTTGTTGGCATAAATTAAAGATAACAATAGAACATGTTGAGAATGAATCACTGAAAGGATATCTTAGATGCTTTGACCGTGTGCCACTTGGACTCAGGGATGTATAAACGTATAAAAATTTATATATATCATCAAATTTGCAGGAGCTATGGACTGATGGAAGAGAAACTCAGAGTGTACATATACAGGGAAGGAAAAAGACCTATATTACACCAGCCATTTTTCAAGGGCATTTATGCTTCTGAGGGATGGTTTATGAGGCAGCTGGAAACTAACAAAAAATTTGTCACTAAAAACCCAAAAGAAGCCCACTTGTTTTACTTACCATTTAGTTCTAGAAAGTTGCGGCAAACCTTATATGTGGCGGATTCTCACAGTCGAGAGAACCTTATTCAATTTCTGAAGAACTATGTGGACATGATTGCATCAAAATATCCTTTCTGGAACAGAACTGAAGGAGCTGATCATTTTCTCGTTGCCTGTCATGACTGGGTACGCCTTTTATTGTCAATTACTTTTAGGGATGCTTGGAAGTTGTCAATTGCAAATTGCATTGAATAGTTTCTCTATTTTATTGCAGCAATGATTGGCATGCAAATGAGCTCGGAATAGTTCTCTAATAATTAATCTCTATTTTCTCAGGCACCATCTGAAACAAAGAAGTACATGGCCAATTGCATAAGGGCACTTTGCAATTCTGACATTAAGGAAGGTTACACTGTTGGCAAGGATGTGTCACTTCCTGAGACATATCTTCGGTATCCACAGAAGCCTCTAAGAGGTCTTGGAGGCAAACCTCCTTCCAAGAGATCAATCCTGGCTTTTTTCGCAGGGAAGGTGCATGGTTATTTAAGGCCAATTCTCCTCCAACACTGGGAAAACAAAGATCCTGACATGAAAATCTTTGGTCAAATGCCAAAAATGAAGGGCAAGATGGACTACATCCAGCACATGAAGAGCAGCAAGTACTGCCTCTGTCCAAGAGGTTACGAAGTTAATAGTCCACGAGTAGTGGAGGCCATTTTCTACGAGTGTGTTCCAGTAATGATATCTGACAATTTTGTGCCTCCTTTCTTTGAGGTTTTGAACTGGGAATCCTTTGCTGTCTTTGTTTCAGAGAAAGATGTTCCGAATTTGAAGAATATCCTCCTGTCCATCCCACAGAAGAGGTATCTCCAGATGCAAATGAGGGTGAAAAGGGTACGGCAACATTTTCTTTGGCATCCTAGGCCTGAGAAATATGACGTATTTCATATGATCCTCCACTCAATTTGGTACACAAGAGTTTTCCAAATGAAGCATAGTTAATGTAGAAGTTAGAAGTTAGAACCATTCTGTACACGCCCTTGTCTCTGGACAAAGCTCTAGTTGAGAACCCACTGTAGAATGGGAAAAAATGTTTCACGTGGTAAGGTAAACTCAAATTGACACGTGTTCCGACCACATCTCTGCCCTTTGCTTCGAACATGGCGTGTCCTAGTCATATTTTGCATGGAAGTAAGAGAAAGGGATAATAAAAATTGGGAATCGTGATTTATGCACAACACTTTTTCCAATAAAATTAACGACGTTGTTTTTTCAATAGCAACAACACAAAAAAGTCTAATTTGTATAGTAAAATTAGGAAAATATTCTAATGAAATTTCTCTTCATATTTATGTATTTATTTTTTAAATATGAAGAAATATAAAAAAATAAAGATAATTTCACTACTATTACAACAAATAAAACTTTAACAAATATAAAAAATTCAATGCATTTGAATAAAAAAACCAAAGCTGCAGGTGCCCTCTTCATGTTTATTTAATTAATAATGTTTCAGTAATTTTAACTTGTAATTATATCAATTTTATACCATTTGTCTTAAAAAAAACACCAATCTCTAAAATTAACACTAAATACAAAGAGGAGGCCATTATGATTTCTTGATTAAGCTCCCTTTGTCAACCGTATGATGACAATGATTTCTCTTATCATTGATTAGGAAAATTGCTACGAGTACAAATACTAAATTTATTACAGAAACTCAGCATCAGATTTCATACATTAATTGTTAAATATATTCAATATCTTCATAATAATTAAAATTTAAATTAAAACAATGACAATGCCATGATATTTCCTATTCCCTACTCTCAAATTGTATTTGTTGAAAAAAAAAATTTACCATGACAGCCAGAAGCTTTCTGTGCGCAGGCTTCCACCTTAAATCTCTTCTCTAGTGTAAAATGACTGTTTTATCCAGTGTGACCTACCCCTGAAAGTATGTCGACGTCTGGATTAAAAGGGCACTATTGGCTTTTCAGTGAAACTAACGGTGAGCTCCGATCAGCCGTTGAAGAACACAGTGCTTTCGGTTCCGTGAACGGAGTTTGATGAAGAATTAGACGTGACAAACACAAAGGTCATTAAAAAGCTAAAGTTCAAATCTTCCCTTTCTTTTCTTGTAATAATTGCTATCCAATTTTCAGTTTGGATAATTATCAACCCCATAAAACATTACAATCTTACAGATTCTTGATTAAATTAAGAAGAAGATGAAGGTTTGATCAATAGAAACCCATTGAAGGTGAAGATAGAGCGGGTATGGCGACAGAGACGAAGGCTGGTGTTGTGAAGGTCAAGAGCAGTGGTCTAGATGGTTCATCCAAGGGAAAGGTTGAAGCTTCTGTGAGCAAGAAGAAGGGAGAGAGCTCAAGCAAGCAGTCTGTTGATGCAAAGCAGAAATCTGTGTCAATTGTTGCAACAAAAACAGGGGTAACCCATCTCAAAGTTAGTTTCTTTTCACTCTTTTTGAATATACTAGATTTAGTGTTTCTATTGGATTCCCAGTTTGGTGATTTGGATACGTGGGTTTTCTGTTTGCTCCTGTAATTTGTTGAATTTGGTTTGCTTTGTTTATCTTTAGTGAAATAAGTGGATTTGGGATAATTTCAGCTTCTGGATTGTTTTCAAAAGGTTATTGGTGAATTGAATGATCTGGATTTGGGATGTAGTTTAGTGGTATGGGGTTTATTTGGTTGATTCAGCTATGGCTTTTTCTCAGTTGGTTTGCTTTGACATGTAATCTCTGTGGATATCTTAAAATTTTTTTTTCTTCTCTCTGAGTTTTGTGAATTTTATATGGTGGGATGAGTTAGACTATGTATTTCACATGTAAAGGTAAAATCTAAAGCCACCTCAAGTTCATCAAAAACAACCTCAACCACAACAACTAAAGTGAGGGAGAAGAAGGTGTACACCTTGCCTGGCCAGAAACATGATCCTCCCGAAGAGGTTGGCAGATATGATTTGAATTCTCCGCTCGTTTGAAAACATGTCTTAGGGATTAAATGCAACTCACTTCTTTGTTTTTGATACATTTTGTTTGGCAGAGAGAGCCCTTACGACTTTTTTACGAGTCATTGTCAAAACAGATACCAACTAGCGAAATGGCAGAATTCTGGTGAGTTATCTTATATTGCTAGCATACTTGTCAAAATTATTTACATGTAAGAAACTAAAATCTCAAGTTTCAGTACTTAACTGCCAGTTCAAGCCTCAGAATATAAACAATCAATTTTGATTTTGTTTTGAACTCTTAAAAGTCATGTCACTTGGAGAGCCCCAACATTTTTCCTGACTAACAATGCTAGTGTCTTAGTTCCAGCCTAAGCAACATTTTTTATGCTTTTTGGAGCTTAGGCCATATGTTACCATGCACTTCTTGCATTACTGTTTGATAGTTGAAGAGTCCATCAATGGTGGTAATGTGAAAGTTGTTTGGTTGCAATGATGCTAGCTATGATTTAGCCTCCTTGGTTAAATTTTTAATTAAGTAATTAATTCACAGTCTTAATTTCAACTTGATACTGTATTTTCTGAGAGTTATAGATTTTGGGTGAAAATGCAATTAAAGATTCCTTTGTGTTTTGGGAGGGAGGAGTGAATAGGGGTTATATGCAAAGTTTTTCCTCTGTGAGACTTTGGAAATTATGAGTTTGCTTATTATGAGCAATTTGTCTCGTTCATATGATTGAATACTTCCATTGTTTTGACTTTGTATAGAGATGGAAAATTGGAAAGTTCTTTCTTTTGAGTTGCTTTGTCTGAGAAGTGCTTCTCAGGACTCTGTTGTGCTAGTCTCTGATCTTATTTTGTAATGTAGTTACCAAACATATAAACACATTTTGTTGGATAAACATTTTGTGAAGATGGTGAACAAGTTACTAATTTTTCTGCTTAAGTCTAAAAATATTAACAGGAACAAGAAAGCTTTACTAGTTTATGCTATCATTCCCTGGAGAGTCCTAGACCTTCTTCCAAGAAGGTCTCAATCTCAAATCCCCCAGCTTCTGCAGGGGGAGAGAGGACTCAATATTGGGTGGATGAAGCAAAAATGACTAATGTGGACAACTCCAACTATTTTAACATTTCATTGAGTTGGTTTTATTCTATGGTGTTTATTGTGGATCTAATTCTAGCATCTGCTTTGAAGCAAAAGTTCAATTTGTTTGTAAATATTTCTGTATGAATATGACTCATTTTCGAAGTAATTCTGCGATTTTTACTTGAAAACTGATTGTTGACAAAATTATGCGCCAAGTATTTTTAATTGTCTGCCCTTTTTTTTCCCCTCTTTCTTCATTTTCTTCTTTAGAGTTATGCCAGAGAGCATTCTACTCAGATTACAATATTTCTAACTTGTGAATAAAATTTAGTCTTGAGAAAGAGGTAATATATTTCAATTTGCAGGATGATGGAACATGGCTTGTTATCCCCTGAAAGAGCCAAAAGGGCATATGAAAAGAAGCAAAGAAAGCAAAAGCAACTTCACCTGGGAACTCCGGTTAAATCCCCTCCTCCAAAATCCACCAGCAAACCTGAGAGTTCACATAAACAGCAGCAGGCATCAAAGAATAGAGACATAAAAGCAAGGAAAATAATCAACAATGACAGTGACAATGATGATGGCTTCATTTTAAGTCCTAAGAGGAGGAAAGGGTAAGAGGAGCCCCCTCACTCATTGTAGGCCTGTATTTCTAGAAATTGCTTCATTTTGTTTCCTTACATTCAAATAGAGACACCCAACTGAAAAAAAAAAAAAAAAACCGCAAATTAAGACATTCTTTATTCTCTAACTTCATGAAAATAATTAGTTGTGGCAACCATACTTTTACTAATGGGCCTAAAAGCATTAAGTTTTGCATGCAGTTGATTTTAATTAGATCTTTTTGAATTCTTTGTTGTTTATGTTAGGACACAATATATATGACTCCACAACCCTGCAGCTAAATTCCATGTACTGAGCTTAACCATATAGCTTATAACCTGATCTTGAAACTTCTATTCTCAGGCTTCTAGATACAGATTGGAAAGTAGAGCAAAAGGTTTTTATCATGTGTATTCAGCCAGTATTCATGTTTAGCCTGAATGCTAGAGAGTAGAGCACAAGAACTGCTATCAGACAATTTATCCAAGGGAGTCAAGATCCACTTACGGGTGTAACTCTTGCATAAATTATTACCTGTTGATTCTCATATCCAAAGGTTTGAGATACCATCATTTTCAACCTTTGGATTTGAAAATCTAATGGTTCATAATTTATGTAAGACCTACACATGTATGTTGATCTTGACTCAATCCTAGGATATCTTTTTCTCTTCTTCCTTAAGATAAAATGCCAGTTCTAGACACAAGTGAAGACTTGCAACATGGGTGTGATGGTGTCTTTTCATCAATTCAGCTTTAGCTTATTAAAGCATGATTCTGGACTACTGTTTCTTACCTATATGAGCAGTCAGTTGATGGACTAGATGCTTTCAACTAATTATAGCATCTAACATTTATAAGTCATCACCTACCTTCAATTCAGGTCCCAGTTGAAATGTGCTTATTAGGAATCATCACCCACCTTCAATTCCCAGCTTTGATATAATTGTCTTCCCAAGAAAGGAAGAAACTTTGGACTACATCATGGCTGTTATGGTCCATAAGGACCATATACACTGTGTAGTGTATACAATTACTATTATTGGGGAAGAACACTAGAGTCAGTACACCTCTTTACTATTCTTTTTTCATATTTAATGTGTGGTTCTGATTCTTCCGAAATTGCATCATCCTCTACGAATGGGCTGTGTGTTTGTGTGAATTCATATAATCCAACCTGCACAAGCATGCCAGCACATGAACAGCATGTGAATTTTACTAATATGTGAAGATTATTAGAGAAAAATATCTGTTATTCAGGTCCCACTTAGCATGCATGGAAATTAATGTGTAGAACAAAAGTTCTGTTAAAATCGGATGTGAATGGGCATTGCATGTGGCAAACAAACGTTGAGGCTGCATGATTCAGACCATAAACACAGGTCATTCTGAATCCATTGCTGTCCTGTGTGATTTTCAGTGTCTGATGCAGGGAGTTGAAAACTTTTGTGTGGTTTGAGAGACAGCATTACGTTGGATTGCATTATTGTACAGTGTATATCTGCTTCAAGAAGAAGTGAACATTGTTAATTGTGTTTTTTTTTTTATCTTGATTGCGTAATAAGAATCAATCATCTTTCATCATTTATTTTATCTTACATGCATGTTATATAACTCAAATTAAGGATCTTTTAGTTCAAACGAAAGAAAATAATTATTAAATTATTTAATTCATTGATTTATTATTAATTGTGTTAGGAGCACTCTTTTTCACATTACAAAACAAATATGAATACCTTTATTTTTTAAAAGACAAGATTTTAAAGGTTTAAACCTTTATGTAAACCATAGACAATAAAAAAATAAAAAAAAATAATTCATCCTAGATTTTTTAATTTCATCATAACTCAATCGTGAATAAGTTTTTAGTGTAGTAGAATCGGGCCTTTAGATCCAATAGTTCGATCCAATGATTTGACTCCAAATTTTAAGTGCTTAAGTGAGGTGGTCAGAACTTCGAGTTCTACTATCGTGGTGAACTTCACCAAAAGTGGCCCAATGGGCAATGGCCTCGAGTTCTGCTACCGTGGTGAACTCCACCAAAAGTAGCCCAATTACTGCGCGTCTTATTTGAACAAATGGAATATTTACTTGGTTTGGAGATCGAATTCTTAGTTGTTAACAACTAATTCAAATTAACTTCTTAATTATTACCTTTATCAAAAAAAAAAAAAAGTTTTAATGTAGTGGTACGTACCTATCATTATGATAATCAATTAATGCTAAGGTTTCTTTTATCCTCATTGATTCCGCTGCGCTCCATCTTCATGGTCTGAATTCTGAAAAACATGAAAAGTACACGCCGTTTTTCACACACAATTTTTCAGTTTGTTAGATCTTAAACAGTAGTAACTGTACTTCATTAAGCAATCTTACCAAAGAGGTCAATGTCTGTACTACAGCAAATGTAAAACTTCCATTTTTTACCTCTGCATACCACTGTTATTTTTTTTCTTGTTGACTTGACTTGATTGGGGTTACCTGCTGTATAACTCATCAGCTTTTGCCCCATTTCAATTATTGATGCCTTTGTTTT